ACTGGCCCCGCAGGAACAGCCAAATCGATATCTTTCGAACGTGAAATAGGGGTGCTTTGAAAACACACCGTGATTCAGCAGCACTGAATGCTTTTTTTGTCTCATTCTTTAGGCGTCGTTTCAGTAGCTCATTTATGTTATCTTGAGGAACCGAGGTTGTAAGAACAAGACCTTTTTCGGAAGTGTTGGTACCCTGGCCTGTCTTGACTTTTAGTTCATATTCTTATTGATGAATTTTTCTCGGCAGCCGTTCTCACTCAGCAACTCTTTGATAATATTAAGCACCTCATTAAGACATCCATCAGAGCATATTGGTCTTGCTCTGTGACGGACCAAGTACTTTATTGGATTGCGTTTGTATTTCAAATGTACGAAGCTGACGGCATCGTCATACTTTCCAGTTGATGAAGGTTTTCCATGTACACTTCATTCTACCGTACCATCCTCTTTTCTAGTATTAACAACGTCTGAGAATGAAATACTGGAGTCCCTTTATTTCTTTCCCGATGGTACAATTCATTGCAGGATGAACATCGTTAAATTTTTCCGGGCTGTTCTTTTCTTCATCCTCATTTTTCATAATCAAAAATGTATCATCTATGTAATGACAGTAAAATCCTAGTTCATCAGTAGCATCTTTCAAAGGCCCATTCTGTACTTTTGCAAGAAAATGTCGGCTACAATGGGTCCTAGTAGTGACCCTATTGCCACACTGTTAAATTATCTATATAGTTCCTTTTTAAATAAAAAGTGGACACTCATTGTGCATTTCAAAAGAAGCCCTACCATTACAGATATAGGAATGGTGACACCGATGCTTTGTCTACTAAGTTCTTCCAATACAAAGTCGTCTACTGTTTCCATAAGTTGTATATTGGTGAATAAAGAAGATACATTAAAAGATATGATGAATCGACTATCAACATTTAAATCTTTTATCCTCCCAACTAATCCAAAGGTGTCTTTCATGCTCTGTTTCACCAATTCGGTACGTAGAAGTTGTAGGAGTTTGATTAACCATTTGACTATAAGATGTTATGGTGAGTTTAAAATACCTAGCACTGGCCAAAGAGGCAAACAAAATTTGTGCACATTTGGTGAATAAAATGCAATATTGGCGTGAACGTCCTAGTGCCTTTCAGTGATGTATACTGACATTGTGACATAAAGTCTTGTTGTTTCAGGATGTTCAGTGTTCAGAAGTTCTACTCAGTTTTTGAAGAAATACGTTTCATCACCAGGCTATTTGAACTCTTCCACACTAAATATATTAAGAAGTTCCAATCTCTGATAGGTTAACCTACTACCAGAGGGCATGAATGAATACGTTTCATAGTTGAAGGAGTTATAATGTTTTAATAAAATGTAGGCATAACACCCCTGTTGAAATCTGTTGTATCATTAACAAAACGTGGTCGTCTTAACACAGCATCAAGAAGATGTACTTCTGCTTAGTTTATGTGGACAAACAGCTATTTATTATGTGTCATTATTTGTCACTACTCAGAGTACCTGGCAAGTTTAATTGGTTGGGGGATTTCATCATGAGCTGACATCAGTTAGAGAACCATTGGAAAACCTGATGGGATTACTGCCAGACAGCCGGTTCGTCAGTTCAGTTTGGTACTCTTCATCAGTACGCTCCCACCGGGGTTCGAATGCAGGACCTTCTGGTTACACGGCTAGCGAACTCGTAGACCATTAGGCCTCTGGGACCCGATCCAGTGACCAGCCAATGAATTCTAGCTTCTACCAATTCATGAAATAGGGTGATAATTTCGCAATGTCTTCTTCGATGAGTTACTGCCTCACCTTCAGTCTGTTTGTCAAACAAAAATACAACTGGTTTTGGTTATTTTAACCAATAGGGTGTGTTAGGATTACTAACTTTTGGGTGGAGTTACGTAATATAAATACGGTTAAAAACAATTGGCTGTTAATGAAACTAGGGTAAAACAAAAACGATGAGTTGTTACAAACAGTTGTTAAAAAGGAGTTACGTAATAGTATGAACAATTTGATGATTGAGTTGTACTCAGGGCACACATAGGAACAAAGTGGAGAATACGAACTGAATGAAAACAAAACACGTAGTTCATTGAAGAGTCTGTTTTCAACGAATTCATTTTCTTAGCTGCACAAAAGCAAATATACATGTGTTATTTTGTATGTATGTGTACATTAAGTTTGTCAAACAAAAATACAATTGGTTATCGTTATTTTAACTAAACAGGTGAAGATTGGTAACTGGATTTACTTAATACAAAATCAGTCAAGAAAAATAGTTGTAATGAAATTAGGGTGGTAACAAAGGTGATGAGTTGTCACAAACAGTTGTTAAAAGAAGTTATGTAATGATATGAATAGTTTGATGATTGAGTTGTACTCAGGATACACACATAGGAACAAAGTAGAGAATACGAAATTACGTAGGATTTCTAAATGAATACAAGAATCATAAGCAATTAGCGAAACAAGCAAACAAACAAAATTAAGTCACCAAAACTCAACAAAGTTATTGACAGTAGAATTGGTTGAGTAGTTCTCTTTTTGTATGCACAGCTACGGTTTTTCTACGTGATTGGCAAGATATATATATTTTCCTTCACGTTCCCCAGTGGAACATAGGGCTTCAAGCTAGTGACTTGAAGTTTCTGTAGCAGTGTTTATTTTACAGGATGGGGTTGCTAGCCTCATGCCCAACCTTTCCTCTTCACCAGCATTATTTCTGGCTTAGCGAGGTAAAGGAGTGCGTCGGCCGGGGATCGAACCCCGGACCATGTGCATAGTTGGCGAGCGTCCTAGCTGCTATGCCAAGAGCTTCAGCGATACAAAGAAGACGAAACCGTATTGCCTTTTATAGGTTATTCCTGACTCTGTAGATTAATTTGAAGGAGGCGTTTGTTGAGATGGAATGATCAGTTAACCAAGTGTTCAGTTATCGCACTCCTTATTGCACCACTATTACCTTTTCACAACCATGCTGGATAGTGTTCTTGAATACTTTAGGACAGTGTGCACCTCGAACGACTGACGCACCTGGCTCCACAGCAGTAGGTGAACTGATATATGCACATAGAAGTGGTCAGATGCGGGATATTGTCCTTAAGGCTTCTGCAGATCAGTGGACGACTGGAGAACACCATTCTTAGCGTTGTTGGAAAGTGTTCTTCTCAGACGTGATGTCATCCTTCTCTTGAGAATATCGCATATTAAATCTCCCTTGAAATCCAAGTAGAGTTTCTTTTTCTGCGTAAGTGAGGCTTCGTTCCTCCAAATTCTTCGTGTGATATTTTTGTCAATGAATCTTGGTGGGTAACCATTTTGGATGAAGATTTATCCCAAAATATCTAACTCCGTTTCTAGAACATCGGGACTACAGATGCGTTGGATGTGGGTGGAATGGGTACCCAGGTATAGAAGCTTGTTAGTTGACCATTCCAAGTAGCTTTTTTATGGATCAATCTTCTTAAGGTCCCATATGTTCTTCTTGTTAGTTCCATATGTACATATATATATGTATATTTGCGATTGTGCAGCTAAGAAAATGAATTCACCGAAAATAGACTCTTCAATGAACTACGTGTTTTGTTTTCAATAATATCTGGATGGGGATGATTCATGAACGTTTGAAAGCTGCCATGGAATGGTCAGCTGACAAATTTTTAACAACTGTGTACCAATTGGTTATAAACGAAGGTTGACGCCGTCGCTTGCCACTGGCATCCGGCTAATACGTAGTCCTCATACTGTGGAGGAAGAGTTAAATCTTCTAACTAAAATCCTAATGGAAAATGGATTTCCGCCAAGTACAGTGAACACTTATGAAATGTGACCTATCGTCCCTAACCAAGAAATGCTCTACATGAGCTGAGAACTCAAAGGTCACTTAGCTTCTCATATAACTAGCAGAAGGACTTCACAGTTCCTGAAGAGGGCACTACCTGGCGCATCTTTGAGAATAGCGTTCTCCAGTCGACCAGTACTGTTTAACAACCTACAGGAAAAGATCCTGAAGTTGACCAACTCTCTGTGAGTTTATCAATCCACCTGCTTATGTGGAGCTAGATATATCTGTTGTTCAACTCGAGTTTTGTCCAGGATGGTGCAAGAAAACTAACCTACATGGTTACGAAGAGATGGGAGTGGAGCCGTGCGAAGTGCGATCATTGAACATCTAGTCAGTAATGATCACCCTATCTATACAACCTCCACCTTTAAAGTCATCAACACGGCGAAGAGTAATTTGCCCAAATCACTACATACCCGATACTCATCTGCATTTCTGAAGCCATCTTAAGATATCAACGTAATTTACAACTTTTATTTTTTACTTCTCAAGCCATTTCTGAGTAGTTATATCAATTATGTCACCCCTTATTACTAAATAATAGACTCCAGCCAGCCTGAGAAGACGATTTGGTCAATAGAGAAGTTTTCTTCAATGAATTTACCTTTTATTTTTCTTCATGACTCGTATTCGCATCGGTGGCACAGCTGTTAGGACTCTAACCGACCAAGCACATGTCTGGGGTTCGATTGCCTACCTACGCACATCTGATATCGATGGTCAGCCTGTAAAATTTTGGCTACCAATATCACATGCTGAAAATTCCATCCATACTTGTACCAAAAATACAGTGTGGAATCAAGTTATTATCAAAATAATTTTTAAAAAATAATTTATCAAAATAAATGCTGACAAAACAGTAAATATCTTAAGATATTTGAGATAAGCAAAACCTTTGATATTACAAAATTTATTAGAAAAACAAAAAATAACCACAAAATATTTGTACCATGTTAACTTTACATTCCTTATTAATCACAAGATAATAATGATAATAACAATAACGTCTGATACTTTGTACCTAAAATATCCTATGAGAACTTCACTGGAATAATAAATACACACAAGGGAATACAACACGAATAAATTATGCTGACTTTGATAATGACTCTTAGACATTAACAGATTGCTCAACTACGATTTGATACTAATGCTGTTTGTGTTACTAACTGTTTTACTTGTTACAACAGTAGGTAAGTTTAATTTTGCTGAGTAGAATTTTCATGTATGACGACTGTTGTACGATCTGAGATAATCTTGAGCAGACAGATCACCACCAATGTGGGGGATGATGAACGTGAAATAAAAATCTGGCTAGCGGTAGTATTCTTAACAGTGATATCTGGATAAATACCTCGGATGTGTAACAGGGGAGTGACAACAGTCAACTGTCAACTAGAACATCGTATTATCGTAATCATTACATGCAATGCCTAGCTGATATAAGAGTAGAACTTGCGCACTGTGGCAGAGTGTAACTCCATTGTGTATTTATTTTGATAAAGTCTCACAGTGTGTTATACAGTAATATTTACTGATGACCATGTTGCCATCATAATTAATTACTGCTCATAATCATATCAATTTCTAGGGCAAACATAAGGTGTAGCAATGGGATGGATCACCAATATCCCCTATTGTAGCAGATATCTTAATGGATGGATAGCTAAGAAAATATTGCTCTTAACATTAACATGTAGTCCTAGTCCAAAGATATTGTGGAGATATGTGGATGACACTTTCGCTCACAATGTTAAAAACAAAATATATATCTCTAGCTTCTCCACACATATAAACTTACTAGTAAAGGGAATAAAATTCACATTTGCGTCGAAAAATGAATAAGGAGAATTAACTATGATATTAGATTGTAAAATAAAACGAATAGAAGAAAGTAAACTGCACACTAGCGTTTATAAAAAGCCAACGTATTCAGCTAATAGATATTTAGAGTTGAATTCATCTCATCCGTTATGTGTCTGTAAAGGCAGGCTTAGTTAAGCGTCTCTTTAAGAAACTGAGCAATAGCACTAAGTAGTACAACAAAAAACCTAAATGATGAAATGAAACAGATCGAAGAAGAAGCGTTGGTGTTAAATAACTAACTATCCTATAAAATTCATTAGGAAGATCAGAAAATGTGGAAAGCAAAATAAAAATAATGGTGAAAATATTAATGATAACATAAATTAGAAAGAAAATATAATATATCTGCAGTTCTACCATATAAGGAGAGGACATCAGCGACCCTCCCTACGTAATATTCTTAATAATGTAAGATTTAGGGTGGCATTCAAACCTACAAACCTACTCAGGCAGGGACTAGCTCCGTAGTTTAAAGCATCCTGTCAGTTGACTCAATTATTATATTATTATTATTGTTTCCTTTGGTTCCCTTAGGAACAAAGGGCTTCAATCAGACGTCTCCATTGACTTCGGCTCTCTGCCAACGTTTTCGTCACCTGGCTCTACGTCCGCTCACATGCTTTCATCTCCTCTTCACATGACCTACTCATCCATGTCACTCTCGCAATGACGACCAACTCAACGCTTCCCATTTGGGTTCCACTCGAGAAATGGTCTGGCGTGTGATATCACTCACTTTATGGTTTGTTTTCTCAGACTATGGCCAATTTGCCTTCATTTCCCCCTGCATATTTGTTGCACAGTTGGTTCCTGCTCGGTTGTTTCGCACATTGCCAGAGATTCCTCCGGCCAGCCATCTGATCTTGAGGATTGAGCAAAGACAGATGTTTGTGAAGGTGTATAGTTTGTTCAAAGTGCCCTTCGTGACGCGAAGCCAAGTCTCTGATCCGTATAATAAGTGACACTGACTTCACATTCTAGTTGAAAATCCGGATCTTATTTTTATGCTGAGTAGTGTTCTTGGTCTCCACACAGACTTGAGAGAAATGAAAGCTTACCTTGCTTTCTTGATCCCCGCTTTGATATCCTCGTCAGTTCCACTTGTAGTTGCAACGACGCTTCCCAGGTAGGTAGGTAGGTAGAGCAGGTTACTTCTTTCAGATTTCTCCCATTTGCGCTGATTGTTGTCTGTTGTTGTTGTTTCTGTTGCTGTTGGTCAGGAATCTTCATCACCTCTCTTTTCTCTCTGTTCACCTGAAGGAATTCCTATCTTCGATGCTTCTTCTACCGCTTGTTCAACTTGTTGCTTTTCACTTGCATATCTTCCAGTTTGTGGGAAATCAGATATATACCATCGGCAAAATCCAGATCCTCCAAGTTTTTTGTGTGTGTCCATTTTATGCCTGTTTCCTGGCTGCCCGCTCTCTGTCTGTTGCATTATCCAATCTACTGCAATCAGGAAAATCACTGGAGATAGTAGGCAGCCAGCCATCTTGTCTCACTACCGTCTTCACTTCGAGGGATCTCGTGAGTTTCCCGTTGTGGATTACTTGTCATGCAGCATTGTCGTACAACTGTTGAATGGGATGTATAATTGTTAGCGGCACCCCATAGTAGCGAATTACTTGCTTAATCACCTCTTGATCGACACTGTCTGCTGAAGGCCATGTCAAAGTCAATTAAGTTGAGTTAGGCAGAGAGCTGAATGACTGTCATTCCAAGCTCTGTTCGGTGATAATCCGCAGTGTTGCGATTTGATCGATGTATGACTTGTTCCCCCTGAATCCAGCGTGTTCCGGTCGAAGGTTTTTATTCAGGACGTGTTTGATTCTCTCCAGGATGGTGCGGCTTAGTAGTTTACTCTGGATGGACAGAAGCATAATTCTGCGCCAGTTCCTGCATTGACCTAAGTCCCCTTTCTTTGGTAGCTTGAATAAGTAGCCTGTCTCCCAATCCTCGGGTGCCTCGGCCTCTTTCTGCACCTCCTCCAGTAGTGGCGTCATCAAGTCCGCTGATGTCTCTGGGTACATTTTCGATGCCTCTGTTGGGATTCCGTCTGATCCCGCTGCTTCTCTAGTTGTTAGCATCTTGATTGACTCCAGGATTTCTGTTCTCGTCGGAGAGTTGATATTCACTGGTAGTTTCATTTCTGCTGTTGGTATTAATGGAAGCGTTGTAGGTGGCGGTCGATTTAGAAGTCTTTTGAAGTGTTCAGCCCAGTGTTTCCTTTGCTCCACCTCTTCGTTGACTGACTTTCCACTGTCATCCTTCACTGGCTTAATTTGTGTTGAACTTTCCCCCGATAGGAAACTAGTTTTTTGGTAGAGTGTTGCGAGGTCTCTGTAGCCTGAAGCTTGCTCTGCTTCTTTTGCCATAGCTTCATAATATTTTCTTTTGTCTTCCCTGTTACCCTTTTTCTCTTCTGTTCAGTGTATCATCGCTTGCATTCAAATCCTGTTTTGTTCCTCGATGATGCACTGGACAATCGTTTGTTTCACCACCCTTCTCTCTTCTGTTAGTCTTCGTGTATCCCTATGAAGCTACTGTTTGTCCTGTCTTTTCTTTTTGCCTGGAATTTCCATGCAGGTTAGATTCCACACCTATTTTAGGCTGTTCTAGTGTTTTTGACGCTGGTCTCTTCGCTAGTGTTGATTTGTGTCTCCTCCTTTTTCCTTATGATTGCAGTGAAGATGTCTTTTTTGAGCAACGAACCTGACTTGTGGTCTGTGTGCAGCTCCTGTTTCTTTGAAAGCTTTAAATTTGATTTGGAGTGTTCCATGTACAAGATAGTGGTCTGAACCAGCTTCCACTCCTCTTCTTACTTTTGCGTCCAGTAAGCTGCCTGTCTACGTCCTTAAGTAGTGTTGAGATGAAGTCAATTTGGCTTTTGGTTCCCTCTTCTGGTGACACCCATGTAGACTTGTGGATATCCTCGTGCTTGTATACGCTGTCACCAACCACTAGTTCATTGAAGGCACAGAAGTCCGCGAAGGGTTCTCCGTTTTCATTCATCTCTCCACGAGCTTGTCTATCCGTAATGAGCTCGTATTATCACTCAAAGTAATTATGAAAAGGTATCCATAATGAGTTCTCTTCCTGTATTGTCTAGTCCCATTTCGGCGTTCGTGTCTCCCATTAGTATTTTGATGTCACCCACGGGAATATTGTCCATTATTACCTGCAGTTGTCTGTAGAATTCTTCTTTCTTTTCGAGGTCTGCGTTGTTTGTCGGTGCATAGCATTGTATAACTGTCACTTTCCTTTCTTGTGAGTTGAACCTGGTGGTCATTATCCTGGGTGAGATTGTCTACCATTGTATAAGGGCCTTCGTTGCCGTAGGTGACATATAAAAGCCACACCCTCTGTGTGCACGTGGTTGTATTCTGGGTGACCGGAGTAGATCACCGACTCTCCCGTTGACAATTTGGTGAGCCCACTTCCATTCCATCTGCTTTCGCATATTCCCAGTACTTGAATTCCATATCTTTTCAACGCGTTTGCGATGTTGGAAGCTTTGCCAGTCTCATACATGGTGCGTACGTTCCATGTTCCCACACAGACTTTTTGTTTTGTCGCAAGGAGGCTCATCGTGCTGAAGTTTCTGTAGGAACTTTGTTTACAGGGTAGGATTGCTAGCCTCATGTCCGAGGAGGAATTTGTTACATAAAAGGTTACAGAGGAGCAACATTTTGGGTTGCTCCCCTTAAAATCAGGAAAACAAGGAATAAAGCAATCAGAATAACACCAGTAAAAGGAAAAAAATTCACAACAGGAAGGGCAGTGACGACAACAGTAAATAAACCCTTAGCAGTAGTATCATTGTCAAATACAGTTAACGAAAATGATATCAAAACCATAGACTCATGGACTTGAGTCAACTTAGGTATGTAAATGCAACAATATATTCAATTATAGATGCCAGTTAGCGTTAAACTTTCACAATATTCCAAACAGTTAGTCATAGGTATTATTAAACAGAATAATATAATTTACAATAAACCTTGCAATGACTTTGAGTTGAGTCAACTACACTGACTAGAGTAGTGGATTGCGGGTAGTCTGATTTTCTGTCAGAACGTACGAATTTAGCCATGGTTAGAATGACTGAACCCACCCGCACGAAGATAAGTATTTTAGAAAAAAAGCTCAGCAATTGCACCGCATGAATGCACTAACAATGGAATTAAAACATTACCTGCCCATTTAGGTTTCCTCTAAACAATCTTATTCGCATTTAATTAAGCTTATTTATCATCTATTTCAGGGTCAACTTCGTCTTTCAATCATGTAAAGGTAAATGTAACGTTTTTATAATGTTTTTTTTTATGAATGGATTTCCTGCACAGAAATATTGATAGTCCGAATAAGTCTCTTTCTGAGCGCTTTCCTATTATAGCAAAAACTGAAATTTTCTTAGCTTCGTTCGCCTCCAGTACAAAAATAATTTAGTAAGGAACCTAAGCCACAGGGTTATAACTCTATGCTGAGAAGAGGTAACTGAAGATGAACCTAGCATTATATATGATACCTTGACTGAAAATAGCCATCCAGACAAATTCATCAGGAAACATATGACCAAGAAAGTAGAAAAGGACTATTCTCCCTCTATGTGTAAAATAAGAAGTCTTTATATATACGGCTGCAGTTCAAAAGTGATATTGCGATTGAAATAATCACTAACAATTTGAAAAGATGTATTCCAAGAACTTTTAATGCCGACACACTACAAGTCTTATTTTCTACACCACAACTGGTGAGAGTTGGCCGTTGCTTTAGGAACTTAATTTCTCGTACTCTCTCGGGAACACCTACCAGTGTGGTGTGGATAAATAAAGGTGTGGTTAATAGCATCATTGGTTGCATATTAGAACAGCATTGACAAATCCTTCTCTATTATCTGCCGTTACCTAAAAAATTGCCAGAAACACCCAGGTACCACAAACTCCAAACAGCAGAGGCTATTTCGACTTGCCTGAACAACCAGTGATTTGTGTGCAGAAGAAACGTCCATCCAAAAACTACTACTGCCCTGACCGGCCTTCAGTAGAAACTCTAAATCCATGAATTTGTATTATTATCTTTCCTAATTTGTTCGTCTGATATTCAGTGTGTTGTTATGTTGATACTGTTGAACCGTAATCTATTCAAACTATCAAGTGATTCGATGTTATTTAAACAACATTAATGTTGTTAATAACACTAATTCATCCACTATTATGCATACATAACTGTAGCACCTGATGAAAAAGGGTTTATCGAAAAGAATATTCCTTGTTAACTAACCATTCTTTTAATATTTTTCAAATTTTTTAAATGGATATGTTAGTTAGGCGATTAAATTTCTCAATATGAAATGTCTTATCAGTAACAGCTGCCTTCGATCCATCCTGAAGATAAAACAGCTGCTTAGAAATTCAAAGCAACACAGAACCCTAACAGCAAGTCAACCAATAAACAACCATTCAGCAAATATAAAGAAGGGAGCAGAGATGGATTGGACATACCCCGAGTTAGGAATGCCTCCAAGGTATCTGTTTACAGTGGGGGGAATCGAAATCTTATAGGCATTCGTGAAGCCAGCTCGAAATGACTGCATAGATCCGACTGAAATGGAGATGTGCTTCTGAAGCATTATGCTCCGATAGAAACCCTAGGGAATAAGAATAATCCTCATGATGTGCTGGTAATCTAACGTCTACCAAGTGCTTCACTGGCTCAGAGTTAGGGTGCTCGTTTACCTTGCATATGGTACGGAGTTTGAATCCCGACTGACGCACATCTTCACCTCCCTTGTCGAGTTGTATGCCCGACGGAGACAGGGAAAGTCGGCTAGTGGCTAGCAAACCACCCCCTCATGGATACTGAAGCTTCAAAGGTCAAACTTGTAATAGAAAAATAAAAATCGCATCAGCCAAACGAAACGACTTTAAGTAATTCATTGTGATTCGCTCTTACTATTCTTTAATCTCAGCTAATTTTTCTAACTCTAAGTAAATGTTTTTTTTTTCTCCCCCTAGGTTACTGAGAACAATTACTTCAATGATAATGGTAACTCTAAGAGTACCTTGTCAGACTGTAAGATTTCAGTCCACTTGAACTTTCTAATGTCAATTTTGTTTATAGGGTGTCAGACATGTCAAACAGCAGTTAACTATATTCTATCAGTTTTGGTAGAATATTTCCAAGTTCATAAAATTGATAATTACATTGAAACATTTTGCAAAATAGCTGGAAGTTCTAATATATCGGTAAGTTTTCAATACTTCATGATTTAACATTGTCCGAAAACTTGAATGTATTTTTTTTGGATAACTATGGAGACACGTTCATTTTCATAAAAGTTTTGTATTTCCCATTGTGAATGAAAAAGAGCAAAACGATATTGTCCACTTTACTCACTTCTCGCTACTTAATGCTGCTGCTAATAGCTGTATCAAAGTAGTATTATTAAAAGACAATTAGGTAATTTTTGCGTTGTTGTCGATTTGGCCGACGGGTAAAGATAACAAAACCAGGTAGGTGTAGATTGTTGGATTTGATAAGCGTATAAATTACTGAAATTGTTCACCGCATTTTGTCATTTCATGGGTGGCGAAGTGGGTGTTGTAACCAGTTTAAATTCTGCTTCAGTCCATCATCGTCGGTGGCACAGTGGTTAGGACTCTCGCCGACCATGCACATGGTCCGGGGTTCGATCCCCTGCCGGCGCACACCCGATATCTATGGTCGGCCTGAATTTGGGCTACCGATATCCATGCTGAAAATTCCATACTTGTACTGAAAATACGGTGTGGAATCAAACTGTAAATCAAAATAATAAAAAAATAAAAATAAAATCCTTATTCATCAGACAATCTGGATTCCATTTGATATGAATTGCTTCTCGTGATATTAGACGTTCTTTCTCATTTTTCCAATCATTCGGCATCATTTCAATATTGTCAAAATCAATTTGTGACCTGATTCTATAGCGTAGTGTGTAGAAAACCTATCGCTTATGATTTTTCAAGCTTTTCTAGTTCAGCTGGATTTCTCGGTGGTCGAACAGACAATCATCCTACCATCTCCACTTCTTCTGATTACCTTGATTACTCTCAGGTGAGGTTTGTCCCATGTAGGTCGCATCACACCACATTTCAATCATTTTATTTTGTAGGCACAATTAGATTGAGAATGACTAGGGAATTGGAGGTCTTTCACATGTACAAGGTTGCTTTGTAGTGTGGTGTGTGTGTCTGATGTTTTAAAGAAAACTTTGATGTTGTGCTTAGTGAGTACTCCTCTTCTGATATCGCCTGATGTATCTCATGGTTTGTGTGGAATGACAACAACAGTTGAGGCGCATGTCTTTGGAACACACATTCGACCATATTTAATCTCAGTGTTGATTTCGTTGATGAAGTCCTTTGGGTAGTTATTTTTCTCTCAAGAGAATTTCAGCAATGTTTGATATTTCTTCTTCTTCATCTGCATTCTCACCCGTCAACATCGAAGTGTGTGGTCGTACTAGAGGACTTGAAACCATTGACATATTTGCGCTGACGCCGTGTGATGACTCACAGTCTAAATATTTCATGGAGTGGGCTTTATTCCCTAATATAGACATATATATATTGAAATATTGTTTTCACTCCTCGTAACCAGGCAGTCTAGAAATGATAGTTCACCGAAGTGTGATTCTGCCCGCTTGCGAAATCACCTGGATGCTGGGAGATACATTGATTAGTTTCTCCCTGAATGACTTGTGTAAATCTCGTTTCAGCACAACACTTTATTGACAAAACTGAAAACGCATTGACAACCAATGAAGCTTGAGCATTTTACTTCAGTGAAGCAACAGTTATCTCTCAAAATTACTCAATATTAGTAAATAAATATTTCTTGAATTCTCATTTATTGCAAACCAGTCATCAGATTTCATTGAAATTATTAAATTAACAAATCAGTAAGTGAGTTACAGTAGGAAAGACATTTCGAAGGAAACGTATCAGTGAATGTGTTTACGATAACTAACTAGAAAATAATGGTCCACGAGCTCACCTTGCAACCGGAATGTCCTGGGTTCGAGCCTTGATGGTAGGTGCGTGCTGATGAAGAGTGCCAAACTATGCTGATGAGAAAACTGTCTAGAACTCCATGGTGGTTTTCCAGCGGTTCCCTCACTGATATCAGCTCATGATGAAATCCAGTAAAATAATAATCATTTACAGATCGAAAATCGGCAGGCGCCATTGGCTCCGTCTCAGTGGCTGCAAGATCAACGAGCTGACATCGTGAGCTGAAAGTTCGGGACTCGATCCCTGCTTGGATCATAGGCTCGTACTGTTGAAGAGTTCATGACTAGGGCGAAATAGCTGACCAACACTCCATAGTTTTAAACGGTTCTCCAAATGATGTCAATTCATAATCAAATCTGAAACCGATCATTTACACGTTTCACTGATATACATCATGGTTACACAGCTAGAAGGCCTATCTGTGTTATCCTGATATATGTTTAAGCAACATTTTGCATCTGATAGAGAATTAAGTAGCATATTAAATTTCACTTAATTATCATTTATTCGTTTTAACGACAGTTTATTGGTTTTATTTAACAAATTATCAGCAGAACACTGTGAAATCACTCTCCATTAGAACAAAACTCCATGTAAAACTTTTATAACACAAGTGGCTCGAATTTAACTCTACTGGATAGTAAACCTTTCATATTCTAATCGTTTGCTAATCCAGTAATGTGTATTATCCGAGCACAGAAAATGGTGGAATAATATTCTATGTATGGTCTACCGAAAGTGCATAAATCAGGAGTGCCCCTACGTCCCATACTAGATATGTCTCATTCATCCTATCACGAGACGGCAAAGGTGCTGGTACAGCTAACTCAACCCTTTCATGACGAGTTAGTGAAGCATAGTGTCAAGGATACCTTTTAATTTATCGACAAGATTAAAAACTTGAACGCAGCTAGCATATACATGGCATCACTTCATGTTTCATCTCTATTCACTAATATGCCTCTAGTGGAAACCACCGATTAAATCTGCGAACAGATTATAGAAAGGAAATGGTTCACAGATATTCCTGTTGGTAATCTGAAACAACTACTTGTTAAGTATACGACAATTGTTCAGTTCTTGTCTAATAATGAAATGTACAGAACGGTTGATGAAGTGGCCATGGGATCCTCACTGGGACCTATTTTTGCGAACATATTTCTATCAAAACTAGAAAATAGTCCGTTGAAAGATGAAATAGCAAAAGTAGAAATGTATTGCTGTCACATGGATGACACTCTTGTAGTGTACGATGAAGGGCTAAGTGGTGACTTGATTTTGAGCAGCTTCAATAATGCTCACCCAGCGGTCCATTTCTCCTATGAAGGAGAATACAGCGACTCTCTGCACTTCCTCGACGTCCTACTGTAACAACAGAAGACAAGGGCCAGGCAGCAGATCGTTTATTAAGGAAAATAAACACATATTTATAGATTTTAATGTACATTATTGTAGATCATTGTTAGTGAAAAACACAGTCTTCTGGTTGGTTGTTTCTTACAGAAAGTTAACCTTGCATCTCTTTGTGGCTGTGTCAGATCATCTATATGCTAACTGTATCCGCCTACGCAAAGCCTTTGTTCTCATTTTCTCAACACCAATATTGGGGACATAAAAATTGACGTCAATTACTGTCTACCAACTTTGGCTAGCAGCCAGCTCTCACCACACTACTAGCGAGAAGAGAGGATGGTTCCGTCAAAAGAACCATATTTACAAAGCCAGAGACCAAAGCTTTGTATACACACTTCATTAGCTTCGTACCCATGAAATACAAACGTAATCTGATCAGGTGCTTAGCATTTAGAGCGAGGTCCATTTGTACCAAAGACTGTTTAGAGAAAGAACTCCAGGTCGTCCAAGACATTCTAAGCGAGAATGGATATCCAGGGAAGTCCACTGAAACCATTGTAGGTCACAATAGTCGTAAAAATGAACTGGAAACGGTTGAGCATCTGTTTTTACGTCTACAACTGAAGGGATATGCCCCTGTTGATATTCTATCGCAACGTTTCACCAGGGTGATAAAGAAAACCTTCTATTCTGCAGATCTGCTCCTATCCTTAAGTAACCGTCCAATAAACACCCAGCAACTCGAAGATATCTTACCTAACCTTAACTCTTCTTCATGCATGTTCAATTTCAACTGTTCCTGTGGTTCAAGTTATATAGGGCGCATAATTAGGCAGGTTCGTTAACTGGTTCAAGAACATTTACCAGCTTGGTTCAGCAGGAGGGAAATTAAGTGCATAAAAGCTCAATCCTGTCACACTTGGTCGATACTAGACATCACATCGATGCCAACACAACCTTCAAGGTTATATATCAAACTCCGAAGTCGTTATCACGTACAGTTTGCTTGCATCTCCTACATAAAGCTAGAGCTTTTACAATAAGATCGACTAAACCGGAACTTCATATCCAAAAAGAACACGTTCAGACACTGTTCCTTCTATGGCCAAACTTGGATTAAAGTTTCTTCTTCTCACCAAGAGTGCTCCTTCCCCTTATCCCCCTTGGTTTTTTTTCTTTGCTTATTATTACAATTATTATTATTGTTCGTCCTAATTTACACCCTTCATGCAAACATTCTCTCAGTACTATCGAATTTTCTATTTATGCTATGCTATCCGGACTTATTACGATTAGTGATATTATCTCTTTTCTCAATATATGCCTCCACCTGTTTCATTTCACACATTCTTTATTTCATTATGAATCTCTCACTGCAGTCCTACTATCTCCTCTTTGATGCATGCCACTTTGTACTAGCTACTCACTCATCTGACACCTTTTATAACCTTGAACTGACTTGTCAATTTTCTTACCTCACACTCTCCAAATCTTTTATGATCAGTCACCACCAATGTCTCCTATTTTACTATATTTTGTAATCGATTTCAGCCTAGCACGACGTTTGTTACACAAATACGACTAATTATTTTGACACCCCATGACTAATCTGTTATTCCACGTTAAAAAATATACACCGCATAACTGGCTATCATTACTGTAACTACAACAAATATTACACTTTATAACTGTGTAAGGACCTGGAGAGGGGAAATTATTTGACAAGAATATTCTTCGTTCAGACTGACTTATAATTCATGTGATATGGGAATATTTCACACTATTAAATATTTAATGTGATTAAGTATGTTAATCATTCTTGAGGACGTTGTATGCTCTCAATGCCTCAGATACTTTGGCGTCTACTGATATGCACTTAAAAATATGATTATTTTATAAGTGATGCATACCTGAGTTCTAGTCATAACTATATTTTTCTTCTAGTGCTCAGCTTTACTGGCAGAATATGTCACCAATACTGTTGACTTGATTAATTCCACGAACCCGATGACACCATGCCGAGTAAGTTTACGTCAATACCAATAATACCTTCTTATGTTCTGAAAACGACTATTAAATGCTGTATTAACATCAACTTTATGCTCATCGGCTACAAGGTATGCTGAAAATGTAGCTACGAATTGATACTGTTTATCCCCTATGCAGGATGATGTTCGGAAATACGATAATGAATCGGCCTAATTGTACGCCCAATGTAGCTAGCCACGTAAATGCAGTCAAACTCGTAGACACACATAGAGGGGACAAAATTATGTAGATTGTCCTTATTTTTCGAATGTAAAATAGGGGTGGTAGTGAAGAGACAACGTGCCTCTGCTGTGCTGGAAGTTCTTTTAAGTGCAGTTTTCAGGCACTGTGTTACTATTTCGCTCTTGTTTTCACTGAGGATTTACATATTTATGAACAGTGGTTTTGTTGGAGCTGTTCCCATACTGGCTCTTTCGCTGCTAATTTCATATTTTTACTCAATGAACTTCTCTGGATAGCCATTTTTACTAAGTAATTCTCTAATAATCTTAAGCTCCTCATTGAGGGAGTCATTTGAACACAATACCCTAGCTCTATGAACCAGAAACTTTACCAAGTTACGCTTATATTTCAAAGGTTCAAAAATCAAAAAATGAATGTACTGACCTGCTGTTGTAAGTTTCCTATACAAACTCCTTCTTAATGTACCATCTTATTTCCTTGCCAGGAAGACATCTAGGAGAGAGAGACTATCATTACTTTCTTTCTCTATGCTGAAGTTTATTGCTGAATGGGCATCATTAAACTTGTCAAGGCTGTTCACTGCTTCATTCTCATTTTTCATGACCAGGAATGTATCAACCGCATATATCGACAGTAGAATTCCAAATCATTAATTACTCCTTTCGGTGGTCTATTCTCCAGCTTAGCAGTGAAAAAAGCAGCCAGGATTGAACCTAATCTATTTACTGATCGACACAGTAACAGTTCAAAAACTATTCCTACGTTCAATTTATGGGAGATCTACATACTTCTAATATTTTATCAGTAGTTAAAATGGTCATATATTCAAAATTTGTGTCATCTTGTATAAATTGTTAGTTTATTTAATTTTTAAATACAAGTATTTCAAATTAAAAAAAGCTGTCTGAAAATCTTTTTTTAGGCCCTCATTTTATGCAAATAGTAAGTCAATTTATTATTAATTTTTAAATATTCTTGCTGTCGTTATTATCGCATTTGGTTCCGAATGAAATTTATATGGTCTCGGCAGTACATCCCCATTTCACCTTGTTCTCCTCAGTCATTTTTGAAAGGCTTCTCTTGCCCATTGAAGTTTTTGTGATAGTTTGAATGGTTTCGCAGGGCAGGATTGCTAGTCCCACGCCCAACCCTTCTCCTTACCAGAGCTTGTTATCAGCTAGAATACCAGTGAGTCAGTAGACTGGCACCAATCACCATTAACGGGAGAGATTTGACAGAGGTTACTTCATTAACTTATCCGGCTAGGAAGTACCATTTCAGCATCAGGCCAACAGAACGGATGAACATGTCAAAGCTAGTCGGAATCGGAAACGCAAGATACACCTTCATTAACCTGAAACCAGTTTGGAAATCTTCTGCACTCAGCCAGCATAAAGAAGAAGATTTGGATTTTCAACACCACTATCAAGTCAGTCGTCGGTCAGTTCTTTTATGTGTCGGAAACATGGTCGGGGATCATGGAAAGCATTCTCAACAGCCGGCTGTGGACTTTTATCAACAGGTGCCTTCTCTCCCTCTATATTTAAGATCAAATGCCCCATTGGTCGGGAAGAATTAGCAATAAGACACTCTGACAACAAACTAACCAAGAGCAGACTGCTTAACAAATATGCAGGAGAAAATGGAGATCGATAGGGCACACACGTTGAGGAGACCATCGAATGATATCTTATGCTATTCAGGCCATCAATCGAGTGGAATCCTAGTGGGAAGCGACGAGTTGGTAGTCAGTGTGTGAGTGGTATGGGGTAGATCGTGTGTTGGGAAGTAAGAGACGAAAGATTATGGATAATCGTGAGTTCAGCCGCCTAAAGAGAATAGCAGAAAACACAGTAAATTGGAGATGTATTGTTGAAGCCCTGTATTCCACTCGGAACTCAAGGGAATGATTATAATCCGCAGTCGCTTTTAGCCTCCATTTCACTCCTCACACGGTGTTCTCTCTGACATCAACCTGCATGCCCAACTCATCATTTCCTATTCAGATTCCAATTTAAAATTTAACACGATGTCAGTCGAAAATCTCCTCAGCGCATGTTCAGTTCATCTCCTTCTTCATATTTGTTAGCTAACGGGTTCTTCGTTGGCTCGTTGACAGAGTTCCTTGCCGCTCATCCTTTCTGACCATCTGAAATCTCAGAGAACAATACTGTTTCCAATTAAATCTCCCTCAAGCTTTATTTAAATGTATACTGTTTCACATGTAACAGTTGCAATCAACCAATGACGAGTAACTCATGAATGAAAAATAAGTACTGAATGATCCGAAGACTTCAGTATTAACAGCAATTAAAATATTTTATTAAAAGAGTTGATTTATAAGGATTTAAAAGGTGTGCAATTATAAGATTAGTAGACAAATCGAATAAAATAAAAACGCTACGTAATATTGTGTGAAATTTAATAGCATAGAATTTAATGTTGTAAAAAGGAATTGATTTAGAATGACAAGTGGAACAAGTGAAATAATACCGAGGACAATTAAAAGTGAGAGCAGTAATAGTAACAATTGACGTAATAAGGAAGAGTATACAAATTGAATAGACAAAAATGAAAAAATGAAAAATTGGTAGAGCTAAAATTTGATTGGGGATTACCATACTTTAGCATAGAGGGATTAAGACAATGAAAGTTGGAGGAGTTGAACGAACTTTTCTGTACACAGAGATCTGGCTTTTCCGTTTCGATAGCCAAAACTTCAGCAATACAGATGAGTCGGGTACTTAGGTATTTGGGTGAATTACTCTTTGCCTTGTAGATGACTTTGAAGGCGGAGGCTATAGAGATAGGGTGACCATTATCGACCAGATGTTCAATGATCGCGCTTCTTATTGCTCCACTTCCACCTTTTCGTGACCACGCAGGATAGTGTTCTTGCACCCTCTTGGACAAAACTCGAGTCGAACGACCAATATACCTAGCTCCACAAGAGCAGGTGAATTGACAAACGTACATAGAGTTTATCAACAGCTGGATCTTGTCCCTACGTAACCGACTCATCTGTATTGCTGAAGCTTTGGCTATCGAAACGGAAAAGCCAGATCTCTGTGTACAGAAAAGTTCGTTCAACTCCTCCAACTTTCATTGTCTTAATCCCTCTATGCTAAAGTATGGTAATCCCCAATCAAATTTTAGCTCTACCAATTTTTCATTTTTTCATTTTTGTCTATTCAATTTGTATACTCTTCCTTATTACGTCAATTGTTACTATTACTGCTCTCACTTTTAATTGTCCTCGGTATTATTTCACTTGTTCCACTTGTCATTCTAAATCAATTCCTTTTTACAACATTAAATTCTATGCTATTAAATTTCACACAATATTACGTAGCGTTTTTATTTTATTCGATTTGTCTACTAATCTTATAATTGCACACCCCTTTTTCAAATTCTATCCATCCTATGAATTATTTCATAAAGATTTGACTTGTTTTTTAACTTCGATCAGGGATAGAACCATTGACCAGCGGAGTCCATCCCGTCAGGAGTGGAGACAAATGCTCACTACGGATAACACTAGCCAGTTGATGATCGCGCTAACATCACGAATTGGTAGAAGTTAAGATCCATAGACTGGCCACTAAGGGC